TGGAAGAGAAAAGGAGCAATCACACAACAATTTAGTAATTCACTCTAAATCAAAAGATGGGATAAAATGTCATGACACTTTATCATGGAGAGAATGAATTTAAAAAAAACGACCACTAAGCCACTTTTCCACTGCACAATACAGGCTTGGCTCAGCTCTACTCCACTAGGTCGGTGTTCCACTTCAAAATACTGTCGTATCATGAGCACTTTGGTCAACCAGAATGCTTGAAATGCATCAGCTGCCACGAGACACAAGCTAACCAACAGCAATGTGCACTGACTTCTCAGCCTCTAGCTGCTTATTTTACTGAAGGCAGCAAGAAAAAGGACCATTGAAGTAACGTGGGAACAGTTGAGTGTGATACTGCAACACCAATGTATGCTAACATTAGTAACCAGGCATACTTTTGTTGTTTCTGTCGATTTACAGTGTGCCTATTTTTAGATTTTCTCGCGGGAATCTGTCCTATGCTGTTTGCTGAAAAATTCACCTACTTTCTTTTATGTGCAAATATAATGTTGCTCTGGCGCTTTCTTTGGGCATCTTTGTGCCAAGTATTTAGAAAATGAAATGCATGCCTTTGCACTTAGAAAATATGTTAATTATTACCGCATATAATGGAATCTCTCTCTCTTGTGTGTGAGACAAATTAACATTTCAGTGGGTGTGGCCTCACTTGCATGGGGCAATAATAAAAATGATAACTGCCTGTTCATGTGGGCATGTACAGGATGATCTCACCAAAAAAGAGAAATACCGGTAGTCAGATACCTTTTAGGATAGCCATCAAGCTGTCTCCCTGCGTCGATGTTTTTTGAAGTTGGCTCCCATTGTTCTCGTCGTCTGTCAACTAAAAGCTTAATTTTCCTCCATATGCTTAAAAATAACAATAAAGCCATGACAAATCGACAGCAGTTTATGTCTCCCATATGATATTCAGACACAGAAATGAGTACCTGGTAGTATTCGTGTTTGTCCGTTGAAAAACATCAATTGGGAGCGGAGCTGCAATGAGCCAAGAAGGTAGCATGCCATGAAAAAAGGACGTTTTAACAAAGTCGCGTTATTGCGTCCTTGTGCGTGACATTGTTTAAGAGGAAGTCAGTTTTTCACCTTGCTGTTCATAGAAAATGAAGTAAATATTGATACACGACTGACATTTTCATGGCGGCTATGGAAACCGCTCCAGTCACATATTGCTACAGTCTATCATAAGTGGTGGGCACAGCGCAAGGACAGTCATGTGTATGTGACACATGTACTGTTTGTGCGATACCTTGCTGCGTGTGGGTCAAGAAGTTCGGACTGTGACTACTTGTGTTGGATCATGAAACGTGTGCATGATAAATTTGACACTGTGAAAAAGGTAAAAAGACAAAATGATGCCCTATTTGAGCTGACAAAAACAATAAAGATATCCCCTGTCATACAACTTGTTCATGGGCTTCACTTCTCCAGGTAATGATTGGAAAACTTAGCACAATGTAAAAGTGGTAATTGGAGACGTACTCCAAAATACTTTTGTCCCACCAAGGTTAAAGCTATGATTAAGAGAAAGGGCTGATAGTATAAGATAGTAAGTCCGATTTAAAGGAATGCATCCAATAATTCATTTATAAATATTAAGATAAAGACTGGATGGACACTGTGAACTCATGACTGGAAGTAATTTAAATTAGGGAAATTAAACGGGCCAGAAACAACCAGATCTTGAAACCCCAACTTAAAACTTTCAACAATGGCTTGAAACTCTTATTTCAAACTGTTTCCCTAAATTGAAACCATGCATCAAAAATTTATCTTGACCACATTCGCTTTACTGTAACGTTACTTTACATGACCAAATTATTAATGTTTAGCCTATTGAAGGAAATGAATAAAACTCAACAAATTGAATTTTTCTTTTCTTTTTTTCGGTGGCCTGGTGCAGAGCTCTGGCCGTCCTGTGTGGAGTTTGCATGTTTTCCCCGTGCCTGTGTGGGTTTTCTCCGGGTACTCCGGTTTCCTCCCAAATTCCAAAAACATGCATGGCAGGCTGATTGAACACTTGAAATTGTCCCTCGGTGTGAGTGTGAGCGCGGATGGTTGTTCGTCTCTATGTGCCATGTGACTGGCTGGCAAACAGTTCAGGGTCTCCCCTGCCTACTGCCCAAAGACAGCTGGGATAGGCTGCAGCACGCCCGTGACCCTTGTGAGGATGAAGCGGATCAGAAAATGGATGGATGGATGGATGGATGGATATATATATATATATTCAGCAGCTCAGCCATAATCTATATACTTCTAGCTCGAACTGTGTTTCATTCGTGTTCATTTGATAGCCTCTTAAAATAAGAAGTGTGTGTGAGATTTTGTTCACATCTCGTCAATGTTACGATCTTGCCATTGGCTCACTTCTTATTCAGCCAGTCTAAGAAGTGACCTTTCTTTCACTGAAGCCCCATCAATATTTTAAGTGTGCTCATCTCAAAAACATTTCCAAGACTTTGGCACAATCATTCAATCCCTTTGCTGTAATTACAAGGAAATAAAACTGTCTTCTTTCTTTCTTTTTTCTTTCTTTCTTTCTTTATTTATTTCATCATGTCCTTGTTTTATTGCTGCTTGCTGCTTTCCATCTCCCAACAAATAAATTACAGTTTTATCTATATTTCATCATGCTACATTTAATGCCAAGCAAGGAAGGGCTGTAATTTAGGATTACGTTTTAGGATGTCATCAAAATGAATGATACATTTGCCATCTATGGATGCAAGCACAGTGAAGGGAATGACCTAAATAAAACAGGAAAAAAATTTGCTCTGCTGTTGTCAAAAATTCACACATATTAAAACCAGTGTTGTTAGTTAAACTTGGCAAATATGTGCATGTCTTTTCATCCCTATCCTATAGCACTATATCTATACAGAACAAAAGCGCAAAAACAAAAAGTAAAAAAAGAAGATATTCATCTTCATATAGGTGCGGCCCAGTGGTCGACTGGTTAGCATGTCGACCTCACAGTGCACAGGTGCAGGGTTCGATCCCGGCTCCGGCCGCATGTTCTCCACGTGAGTGTGGATGGTTGTTTGTCTATGTGTGCCCTGCGATTGGCTGGCAACCAGTTCAGGGTGTTCCTCGCCGAATGTCCAAAGACAGCTAGGATAGGCTCCAGCACGCCCCTCAACCCTTGTGCATTAGAAAATGGATGGATGGATGGATGTTCATACAGGGTTGGTTAAGTGAAGCTCTGCATTCAAATCGAACTAGCAGTTTTCACACTGCAAACCGTACTTTTAAGATGAGTGGTTAAGGCCATGTGACCGAAAACATGAAAGCATGGACATACTGTACCAAATGCAAAATGCAGACAATTTGGGAGTGTCATTAATGTCACCTGGCACAGACCAAATGAGTTATGTGCAGTTGCACAACACATAAGCCATTAAGCTCGAGTTGTAGTTTACCGTAATGACTGCCGAGCGACAACACCTTAAGTTAAAGGGAGAATTTGGGTGTACCAGTGCGCGGCCCTGTGTTTATGCATGTTATCATTTGTAGCACTGGGGTGATGACTCCATTAAATATTAAAGGTTTGACACAGCAACTCCCAGATTTTTATTGTTTTCACCAATGTTTTGTTTGCCACAAGCACATTTACAAAGACACAAAAAACTGCACGGCTGCTGGATTCACGATCATGCACATGTCTTTTTGGTAGCAGTCCTCAATAGCAATCCTAAAAAAAAATATATATATATATATATATATATATATATATATATATGACAAACATTCAGAAGAGCTATCGATCAAGGCTTTACTTTTGAGGTTTCCCAGCCAAAATATTTGATGACCAATGCATATGCGCATCCAAAACATGAATACAGTGTTATCACCTAGACAGGCTGACAATCAATATGTGGATGCAACAAAAACTCTGTTGACAAAAACAAGATGAAGATGCATGGGCAAAAGAAGAGCGGAGGGAAATTAAACAAAGATGGAAATACGAAAGAAGGAACTACTAGACTGACATTTTTCATCAAAAAATTCACAATAATCAGCAAGTAAGGTGTAACATTGCGAAGAAAAAGGGTTGTGACAGCTTTTCTCCAATGATAAACCTCGGTGTGAAACGAAAACAAAAGTGAAGTATCTGTGACAGCACAACTGGAGAGTTTCTCTCTCTGACTGGGGATCTAATCTATATTCTTCTTCACTTTCCTGTCCGCTCCATAATGTCAAGAGTTGAAGGCTGAAAGTAGTTTGTTTTGTTTTGTTTTTCTTTTTTCAGTTAAATATCAAGGCAAAGTTTGGAGACAAAGTTGCACTACAGGACACAGAATTCAAAATCTAGCTTTTCAAGTTTACATCATCCGTCTGCTTGCATTTCCTGATAAAAGTACTTTGCGCACTTCAACATCATACATAGATTTCAGCAAATCAGTTTCCCCTTCTGCCATGTCAAGGATTCTGCGCCTCTCTTTTAAAAGTAAAGAGAGGAGCTGCTCCTTCTGGCGGCGAATCAAGTCATCTCTGTTCACGCCCAGACCCGCGCAAAACACCCGTTTTAAACTGTGGCAAGCTGCTTGCACCTGCGAAAATACCAAAAGAATTCTCGCCTGCCCTTGCCCAGATTTATACAGCACCTTGCACCAAACTTGCGCTGGTCATGAATTTGTAAATGTATGTAAGTGCTTCTGACAGTGTTCAGGGCTAACAGAGAACGCTTTGCTGGCCCACCACTGCTCTCTCCCAAAGAGCTCATAGCGACAAGAGGATGATGTTGTTAGCAACACAATCTTCTCTGTGAGCAGGTTTTCAACTTGTATAGTTAATTTGCTGCAGTGCTTCCATAATCTCTCAATGATGTGTACGAAAGATACAGCTGTCTCTTCCCCCATCTGCCTGTCCCCGCTACCCATTGCATTTGATTTAGCTCATTTAGTTCATTTTAGGAGCCTTTCCGCTCAGCTCTGCAACAAACAGATGCTCCTTTAGCATCGCTTGTGTTTAAGATATAAATCTTTAGATTAGAATTCATCAGACCTAAATTGATCCTTTTATTCTAGTGTGTAACGAGTGTGTGAGGAGAAACCTTTCTCCACCACCGACAGTGTGAGACTTAAACAATACTAATCGTGTTTTCATCTGCTTCAGTTGAACACAAATTTAATGAATCAAACACACCCAAAGGTTTTGTAACTATAAGATCCAAAGGAGCAGCATGAGCGTGGTTTCAATCATTTTTGCCAGTATGTCAATGCCATGCCCATGCAAACTACGTCCAAACATAAATAGTGAGTTTGTACTTTTACTGTTATTGTCAGAGCACGTTATCTTAAAACTCTTTCATTATACAGTTTAGGACAGATTAGGCTTTTTGGGAGAGTGATAATCTTCAGGATCAACTGTGATATTCTCGTTTCTTTTTGTGTGTATTCTCTTGTCAATATTTAGTCGACAGCAAAACCGTGTTCGGTAATTGTTCTTGTCGGTCCAAGCTCCATGTGAATAAAGGAGGGAAATATTTTGTGCACAGAGGTTTTTGTTCTTTGTTTTACGAAAATGGACTGATAGTAAAAATTCATTGTTACTTTTTACCTTTTGTACCTACCCAAAGTACATTTCAACAGTCTTTATTTCTGCTTTTCCCAGAGTATTTTCATTTTACTCAAGTATCTGTACCTCTACTCAAGTTCAGGGAGTGAATACTTTTCCCACCTCCGTGAATGTTTTACTTTTGCCAAACCCAAACTGTGAAGACACTTTGTTGGCTTGGATGGGAAAAAAAACTCACTTTCCCTTTATTGACAAATTCGAGTACGGGATTGAGTTCTCAATGTGAACATGTGTTTGTATGATTTGATTAAGAGAAATTCAAGCAATAAAGGAGAAATGCAGCAGCTGGAATGTAGAGACAGACAAAACAGAAAATGATCTACAATATCACATCTATTTTCCATTCCGCGTATCAGGGAAGCTTGGGCCTGTCCCAGCTGACTTGGGGTGTAGATAAATGACAAAATATTAAAGTGCTGGTTGACAAGCAGCATCTCTCAACACAGCTGCCGTGTTGGTACCATAAGTGACGTGACTTACAAAGGTCTAATAAGATTTTAGTTCATGCTATTTCAAACCGTTGTTAAAACAGTAGTGTATGGTACTGTAAATACCTCAGCAAAAAGAGAATTGACCATCCTCCCTATTACTCAGGGAAATGTATCTCTTGTGTGTGTCCTTGTCAAAAAATAAACCATTCATCAATATGACAGGAAGCAACTTAGACCACTGTTGTCCATCAATCAAGTCACTGTCCGGCTGTCCAATGGAAACCAGAGTGACAGTGATGATCCCACCCACCTGGTTAACTAGGCGACCTTCAACTTGGCATGACAAGGTGATGGATAGCATGTGATTGACTAATGACTACGAAGAGAAGACCAGACCTTGCTTTTTGCACCAAACTTTGAGGTATTGCATCTGTGAGCTTCATATATGCCACTGTTTGAGTGGAAAAAAGACAAATAAAAGATGTCTTTTCAGCCATTTGTTGAATTCAACTCAGTTCAACCCAACCTTACTTGCAGACAGGGCCGCAGATAATGCACCGTGCGTAGGGCCCCATTGTCTGTGTGAGAATGCATTGATCGACATCATTGATTGAGTGAGCTTCGCACATCATGTATGAATGCTCCAACTAGTACTTCACGGCTTGTTCTCTACATGGTTTGGGATTTCTTGTACTTTTCTGACAAGCTATTTTCCTCCATGTTTTTTCCTTGCCTTGTGCAAGCGCTTTTTGTTTTCTTGACATTATTCCTAGCTTGTTGTCCAGCGTCTTAATTTGAACTTTGTCGGCCTTGCGCCTATTTTTAGTAAATACAGTACATATTTTTGTGAGATCAACTTTCCTGAGTCAACGTTTGTATGGTCCGATTCCCTCCGGAACCTTCCGGACGCCTGACATACAAAAAGGGTTGACTTCTAATTGGGATTTTGGCACAGCCTACATGAGGTCTAGAGTTGTATTCTCTTTCATGGCAAAGTCAATATTTTGTGTGTCGTCCGTCTATGTGAGAGTGGAACATATCTGAAGAATTCACTGAACAGCATGAACATGTCAGAATGCTGAAGTTGTACTCAAGCACTCACAACGTGTAACACGTCACTTGCCTTGGCTGCAGTTTTCCTCCAGCCTTTTCTCTTGGTGAGTAACACACAGAAAGAACAGTCCAACATAGCTGTCCCATTTAGTCCTCTCATACTTGACATTGCTTCGGTTTAGCGCCGGATCTCATCGCTGTCCATATATCCTCCGGGATGCATTCTTCGCAGAGTGAACAACATCTGATTTCATAATGATACTAAGCTCTTTGAGGTTGTAGCATCGCAGCCAAACGATATTCTCTGTTAAAAAGACTGCATGGCTAAAACGTTCGTAAAGCACCACAGTTTAGCATGACATAAAAAGAATAAAGCGTGGAAAGGGTAACTAAAGAAGGTAATGGAACTGTTTTAAATGGACTGCCAATTCAAAGGTGCACAATAACAATTAGCACCGATATTCTCTAACCAAAAAATGCCACAGCTAATATATTGTAAATAGTGCTGAATGGGTTAGCATAAAACAAAACAAACACTAAACATAAAAGGGTGAAAAAGTACAAATAAAGAGGGGAGTAACACGCTGCCAACTCACAGGTGAGTGATTTGAACAGAAAAGAACATTGAATGGGACAACCAGCCAAATACACAAATGCAAAATGAAATCACTCTTGAGGATCATCGATCAGACATGAAAAATGACCAACTGGCCAATCAATCTCGAGGGTATTCTCCCATTAGAAGCACACCAACGCACAAATGTACTCCAATTAATTTCTCCTCAGTTCAATATTAGGTCGTCTTATTTCTTCACATTTTCTTTTATCATATTTTGATACTTTGCAATGAAGTGCTATCTTTCTGCAATTATAAAGTGTAACAAATACAGATGTGAACAGAAACACTGATAAGAAGCACTGATAAAAGCAGTAGGTAATGACCGCTCCCCACTGACACAAACAATGTGACACAGCTGGCATCTACCCATGTTTGGTGAGAAATCATGATTTTCGGACACACACACACACACACACACACACACACACACACACACACACACACACACACACACACTATTGTGCTTATCATAGACAAAGAGTAACTCTTCTCCATGTGTAATTGGTGGGCTGGCCCATGGGATGCTATCCACATAACATTGATAAAGTTGTAAAAGATTCTGGGCATCCAATTCAGACCTAAGAGTGAGAGAAATATCCAAATTAAATAATTTTTTCCCCCCTTTTGCTCACTGGAGACTGGAGAGTGAAATGATACCACTATAACTGCAGTGGCCATCTGTCTCATCTCATTTTACCAAGAGGGGGAAAAAGAGTTGCATTACTATATTAAATATTAAAGCGTGCACAGTGGGTTACGTCAGGTGGGCGAGAATGTCTTTCATCAGGTTATATGCTTATGTGTGCGAAAATTAAGAGAAGCTTTCAGAGTACCCTTGCTGGTACTACAAAGTGATGAATAATATATGCAGTTGTATCCATTTTATACAAGCAGTGGAACCTCCAAAGTCAAATGATTCAATAGCCATAAAATTTAGACACAGATTTATTGGAAAAATATGCCTCAAAAGTTGGAATACACCGGTACTGAGTACTGTACTTGGACTGTGATGATAATTTACTTTATTTGAACCATTCTGACCATAATCACAAAACATACCTGCAATACGGTATATATTTCACTCAGATAACAATTTTAAGCTTGTCATTACTGATATTTTAACATCCAGCCCTGCCTCAAATTTCACTTCCATGTAGCCTGTAACGTTAGAGTTCTATGTACATGTTAAAAGATGCTGGGTTGTTTTCCAAGCCCAGTCGCTGGGTAGCTGTGGTTTTTGAGCAGATTGTGTGAATTTTACCCCAGCACATTGGTTGAAGAAAAACAAGAAAGTCAAGTGAGTAACTTGCTGTGGTGACGCGTGACAGAGGAATGTTGCTTACTCTTAGAAAATGCTTTTAATTGTCATATTAATTTGTCATATTATCAACCCCAGCTATACAGATATCACGGTAACCCATTTCTTGGTGGCTTGAACTCGCCTGTATGGGTAGTTTTTACCCCTTGTTGGATCCAAATTTTGACCCAACGTGTTGGATCAAATCCTCAACCCAATACACTGGGTATAAATGAATAACCCAATATTGTCTCAGTCCCTTTTGGACCCAGCGTTGGGTGGAAACTCAGTGCTTGCAGGACAGCTCACTGAGGAAAATTTATCGTCGGCTTAAAGTGTTGTCAACCATGTTTACCCGAAAAATTTCTCCTCATGCCTGCGGTGGCTCCAACCCAAAAGGTTGATGCCATTTTGATGAAATTGTACCTGTGTGTAGTATCAGTGCATATGTACGAGTACAAATACTGTACAGATGCATCAATACGGGTGTTGGTGCATCCCTACCCAAAACACAAAGCAAATATTACAATCCACCGTCATGTGCATTGTCGGAGTCACAGCACATCTAGGTGAGGGCATTGTGTCAGCATGGTGGGAGGGCACACACTGCCATTCAATAAATGTGCGTGGCCACAACATTATGCATTAAACACCATAGCACGGCAGGCATTGGGTAAGCTAATCACAAGGCTTATCTTGAGAATAGTTTAGGTGGTGAGTGTGGGCTTTTTTTCTGTATACAACAGTGTCCTTCCAATCACTTGTGCATTTTGGGGTTGTGTTTCTCAAACGCTAGCTAAACCAACTGGACTATTTATTTCATGGAGCACTGTGCACCTGTGGTGTGAACACGCATTTCTCAGAGTGGGGAATGAATTCAAGTATCAGTTCTTTTCGTGAGATGCGGGTATATGGCACCCTGACAAAAACTGATGTGCCATATATGAAAGCTCAACAGTTATTTTTGTTTAGATTCTATTATTTATTTATTATTATTATCATTATTATTATTAATGTGTGTGTGTTTTATATATATATATATATATATAATATTTATTTATTTATTTGTTTGTTTTACCTTGAGCTCACTGTTCAGGGATAAAATACAAATAAATAGGTTGCCTGCAAATGCCACACCGTGATGCCAGCACTACCCATGTGTGACTAAGGGTTGATTTGAATTGTATTTGTCTCAAACAAACACAAAAATAAAAACAACATAATAGAGAAAAGAAAGGTCAAGAAAGGGCAAAAGGAAGCAAAGCGCATCAAGTTCAACGCCCCCTTTTCATTCTAAGAACTTTAAGATGCATGAGAAAAAAAAACATATTATTCATAAATCCAGACATCCTCAATTATTAAATCCTTTCATTTTTATATTAATGTACATATTATGTAACTATAGGCCATAAATCAGTTGATCATTTCTCTAGGGCCCACCCTGGCTTTTGGCTCACATTTGGTACAGTCAGCAAGAAATGTTGACAGTCTGAATTATTTTGCTATAAAAACACCAATGCCATTTGTTTATTGCTTTGTCTCAATACAGAGAAACAGTTGAAGTATTTACTCTATGTATTTTGAACATCTGCTTTGTATACACAAGACTGCAGAATTGACGAGTAAGTAAGTGAGTGGTTTCATACAGTACATTATTGTGTACCACATCTTGTCAACTCAAGATTGGGGGGAAAATTTTTTTTGATTGGGAGGAATGTCGGCGCCATTTGACTGTCGTTGCTGGACATCCACGGGGCGCTTGTGTCTTGCGCCTGAAGTAGGCAGCATTTTCACCGCCCCGCTTTGTTCAGCGAAAAGGTCAGTGCTGATGGACAGTCTGCGGCTGGATGGATGCATGGATTGAGGAGCCGACGATGAGAAGAAAGGAGCGTCAGCATAGAGCGCCGATGCGTATGTGGAACCAGGAGTCACGGCTTGGAATTGAAGCGGATTTACATGAGACAGGAGAAGAGAGCCAATCTCTTTTTCGTTAATGGATGCGACAGCTTCTTGTTGCTTTCAAGCTTAGCTTGTAGCAGGCGTGTGCACATTGCAGCATGACGTCTTTGATCCACTGGTGAAAAGGACACTTTGATTCGCTCCTCTTTCATCAATAACTGCTTCAGACAACAAAGTGTATGCAGGAAGGTGGTTAAGATTGCACGATTGTCTGTGTCTCATGTGTTGTCTTGTATTATTTTGTCATTTTTTTGTTAACTTTTCTTTTGATGGCGGCGCGGACACCCGCAGCGGCTCCTCTTGTTTTATGTTGAGAGGGAAGAAATTTCATCTGTGCTGTACAGCACATTTGACAATAAAGTTGTATTCAATTCAATTCAATTCAATTCAAAGAAAAAAGTCTCCATCTTGAATAATTATTCATAAGACTGAAATGCTGATTAACAAGTGAGGTTTATACACCATGCCCTGCAGATGATTTTTAGAAAAAATACATCAGAGTTATGCTGCAGGACTTCACCCTCCAATGTTTACACTTAACTGGAATTGTGTGGCACAGCCTGTGACTGGGGGTCTACCATAAACGCTGAAAATTGCCATCAGGTTCAATATGTCCCCACAATTTATTCATACTCATGAAAACCCAGGTGCCTCCGATTACGCTGTTTCCACCAAATAATTGTCTATGCTGTACCTTGAGGCAAGCCTAGAAACACACCAATTACTGAGCACATTCAAACTTCAAATATTAACTGAATGTGAGATAAACATGTGTGGGGTTGAGGTGAGGATAAATATAAATTAGTGAGAATCGAAGTAAATAAATTAGTTTGTGGACAATTACTCAATATTCATGTGTACTTGAATTTCCACCTATATGCACTTGCATTTCCTCTATTGAAGAAATGTTTTTCTGACGAGCCTGCGTGCTGAGTAAATGAATGAATGTGGCTTTTGACTTGGACCAGACTGCATACAGACTACGTTATGTATGTGATAAACAGGATGTTGACATGCATGTGTTGTGCGCAATAATTTATCAATTTGCACGAGCATCCTTTCATCATCATTTGAGGCTGGAATCAAACTGTCCATCGTTGTCGGTGACAGCCAATCGGCGTCAAGAACGTATTTATTACGTTGCACGCACACACATCACAAGCAAACTCGAGTTAAAAAAACAAACAAACAAAAAGCAATCAAAGCACATCAGACAAAAACACTATCTTATTTAGATTTATGAGTACATCCCTCATCTGCTGTTACCTAATATACTCCACATTGATAGGAAACCTCTGCAAACAAAATTGATATTGTAGATGGGATATTTCTTAGGGCAGCAAAAAGAGTTCCAATCTCAGCTCCGGCCTTCCTACCACATTCCCAAAATATGCATGTTATGTTCACTGAAGACACAATTGTCCATCAGTGTAAAGTGATTCCTAAATGGTTGTTTATCTGTATCATGCCACTGACTGGCAACCAGTCCAGGATGCACCCAGCTGAAAGACTGACCCTCACCCATATGAGGAGTCAAAAGTGTGGATTAATATCTAGGCAAAAGCGGAACGTGTAACTGCTCATAAGAGTTTGGAGGTGTACCTCATTTAAGTGCCCGGGGAGTCACGGGGCCTATACAGAACTCTATATTCTACATAGCCAACGTTAAATAATGTTTATTTGTTACTGTTGTAAAGCACAGAGTGGGACAAGAAGATTCGGATAGGGCATAGACATTTTTCAAAAACGGTTGCATATTCACTGTATTTAAATGGAAGTACAAATAAAAACAAAGACATTTATTCATTAAAAAAACAGGAAAAGGTTTTACATTATATATAAAGGATAGAAAAGTGGAAACATTTGAAAAAAAAAAAAGGTTTGTGTGCCCAAACACACAAAATGCAAGTGAGAGACTGCAGTGAAGTCTAGAAGTAACATCATCTTACTGCACAGACAGTTTGACATTTCTACTGAGACACCGCAATTTTTGTGTGTGCGTAACAGCCCCCACGGCAGGCGTGGACGGATAACATTTGAGAGCCTTCTTCATTTCCGTGGGTCTGACACACATGCACGCACACACAGAAAAGGAGCAGGATCCGACCAGCAGAACATTATCTTCCTTCACCTCCCGAATATGATTCTACCTCAGGCTCAAGTGGCTCCATGGCTAGTTTGGACTTTTATAAATACAAACCTGAGGAATTGTGGGCCCTTCCTCTGTTGAGTTATCCACTGCCCTCTATTTGTCAGACCATTTCAGCTTCTCTCTGTCTTTGTCATTTATCCGTTGCTTCTAAATTGGGTTATTCCTCCCCATGGTGTTTGTCTCATCTCAGTTTCTCCCTTTTGTCTGTCAATCTGATGCTCGTCAATAACAGAGCAATGCATTCAAACTTGAGCCGTTATTTCTCTTATTTTGTACGTGATTGAATTTCTCCCTGACTGTGTTCACTTGTGATTATCACAGGTGCTGCAATCCAATTCTTCGCCTCTCGGCTCCCACTGTTCGTTGCATTTGACTGCCAAGGGAGTCCCTCCAGTAAAACTACCTGAAAATCTTTTTTTTTTTTTTTTCAAATTCCAGTAAATGTTTCATAAGTCTGTTCTCACTTCACGATTCCCTGCTTGCTCTTAAAAAACTGTTCTCACACCTTATATGGTCCTACAATCATCTGAGATTTTTGCAATTAATGCTCTCTCCATGCAATCGCACCTGTTGTGAGACTGTGTGACTGCACACAACACCGCTGTGCTCATTTAAAAATGGTTCATTCATTAAATCATGGCAAAAAAGAAC